TCTATTCCATTTTATTCCATTTCATTTCATTCCATTCTTTCTCCTATTCTATTCTATTCCATTCCATTCTCTCTCTGTCTCTCTATTCAATTCCATTCTGTATTCTATTCCATTCTATTCTCTCTCTAATCTATTCCATTCCATTCTTTCTCCTATTCTATTCTATTCTTTTCTATTCTATTCCATTCCATTCCATTATTTCTCCTACTCTATTCCATTTTATTCCATTTCATTTCATTCCATTCCATTCTTTCTACTATTCTATTCCATTCCATTATTTCTCCTATTCTATTCTATTCCATTCCATTATTTCTCCTATTCTATTTCATTCTATTCCATTTCATTTCATTCCATTCCATTCCATTCTTTCTCCTATTCTATTCTATTCTTTTCTATTCTATTCCATTCCATTCCATTATTTCTCCTACTCTATTCCATTTTATTCCATTTCATTTCATTCCATTCCATTCTTTCTACTATTCTATTCCATTCCATTATTTCTCCTATTCTATTCTATTCCATTCCATTATTTCTCCTATTCTATTTCATTCTATTCCATTTCATTTCATTCCATTCCATTCCATTCTTTCTCCTATTCTATTCCATTCCATTCCATTCTTTCTCCTATTCTATTCCATTCCCTTCCATTCTGCATTCCATTCTGTATTCTTCTGGATCAGCCTTTGCTCCTTCCTGGGGTCGTGACATCTCCAAAGAGAGATTTTTAGGAAAAGATATGCTCTACTGGAAGCCACGAAATCGGCGCCAAGAGACGCCAGCGCCAAGGCCTGAATTTTAAGCGCGCTTGGCCGTGATTGTATCAGTGGGGGGGGGACGTCAGGACCACAACCAAACTGATCGATCAATGTGACGCTCCATTAAGAACAGATAAAACAGAAACCGGGAGGGGGGGGAGAGAGAAATGGGGGGGACAGAGATGGCAGGAAGAACAGCATCAGATAAGGCGGCATATCAACTTCCCCGAGAGGTAATTTAATCAATTTATGGGGAAAAGTCATATTGCAAGGAGAATTTAATGGCATGAACAGAAGCTGCATTCGATAAGGTCGCACTTTGGATAACGAAGAAGACGGACTTAATTAACACCCAAAAGGTTTTGCTTTTACAGG